CTAAGAAGTTGGTTTGGTAGTGTGAACTGGATTTAAGTGATTCTGGATAAGGTACAGTAGATAGCTCTCGTGTACACGATAATGAACCGTCATGTTCCATAATGGATTTGACCTAATGAGCGATTTTCCGGATTCCTAAGAAATACACCCGTGGAGTTAATTATGTACTACTTAAAAAGACGTCTCTTTGTACGCAAGGATTGCAGGATTGTAATTACGTAGGTACGTTACTGTTAAAATAAACCTGCAGCATATGTACAGCCTTTGCAAACACGCCATAGGCCTATGTGTGCGTTAGCGCGGTAACAAGGGAGGATGAAGCATATGAAAGGAGAAGATCGGTCGCCACAGCCCTGAGGTATTTACCGATCGGTTTCTCCTTTAGGTCTCTCGAGCTTGAAATTTGAGTTGGAGTAAATGTATTCTGAAATTTATGGAAATATTTTGCCTGAAGCCTTTCAGGATATGCCTTGATGAAATGAAGTTTCTCTGTACCACATCACTCTGTTACCGGCTTTCAAATCCATGGTGAAGTCAGGAGAGAATAGTTTCTTACACGAAAAGCATTATATAAGAATATAGAACTCCCATGTGGTATTATACAGTGTGTCCGTAAAATAATGGTGGGGTAACAAACAGTCATGGTTTTGGAACAAAGCATGATAGAGACATGAAATCAAAGTCAAAATAAAGAGAAACTCTCCACGAATCTTACCTGTTCAGTAGATTTAGATATGTGCTGCTTTAGTTGCCCTGCAGACGTGGGCATAAGTGGGAGGATGATATTAAAATTGACCTCTAGCAGAGTTTGGGTGCATGTATTGGAATCATATGGCTCAGCATGCAATGACAGGCTTGCAGTACATAATTTCAGTAATTATAATTTCGGGTTTGGAGAGGAATTTGTGCCATAAACGTTTGGCATGTTTTATATAAGATTTAAAGCATGCACTTTTATATATTTTCCTGTGTTGTACACTATGGCGGAAAAGGCAAAGTCGAATAAGAAGGCGAGAATTGATTACAGCCAATAATTTAAAGTTTTAAAATCTCGTGGCTATTGGAAAGGTTAGAGTGCGTTTGTGAGAGTACAAACAACAAATGAGGTACGGAAGCTATATAGTCTAAGCTACTGAGTGCATCGTTAAATAAACCAAAACCAGGAATTGGCTGTGGCACGAGAATGGTAATTCAACTCCGTGTGGCGTGTATTCCCCTGAGTACTTAGACAAGGAAATTTGGCCCAAGGATACGGGAATGTCTTGTTTGTCGAGACAGTTACCGTAGCAAAGACTGTCGGTGAGGTACTTAAAAGAAAACACTAATTACTTTCTCTACAAACCAGTACGAATTTCTGGCCGTTTAACTGAACTTGGTAATTTTTATGAAGTTCGTCAGACTCGGGATCTTACAACGCTGTAACTTCAATCGGTACCTTGTTATAGGTTAGAGATCGCGAGCCCTTTTTATGTGGAAAATATTAGTATGTTGTTAAAATATTCTATATGAAATTAGCTCTTCAATGTTGGTCTAATCTTGCCTTGTGCTGCTTCTACGAAGAGTGGATAAATTAGTTCATGTGTTACCATGTCCTTACGTCGGGCAGGACTCGACCGCGCAGTCAGAACATTTATATTCTAAAACTAACTTATAATCTAAACATGAAAAACGATGGAAAAATTTTCAGCTTTATGCCTGAGTGGATTCTCCGTTCATCAGATACGTTTACATTTGACTGTAAACCCAGCTCCATTCTGTAATCAAGAAACAGGAAACAATATACTGCCAGCTTCACAACACAAACTTGGTCGCCGTTGCCACATAGTTTCTGCAAGAATTCAATTATCCGCGACGAGGTGAATTCATCCCAGTTACCGCTTAACCGCACGAAACAGCAGGAGTTCGACTTGAAGCCGAAAGAATCCAGACGCCTCGTTAACAAATGCCTCCCCGGGAGGAATGCTGGCTGACGGCTGTGGAGTTACTGCTTCCAACTGAAACTCCAGTCTCACCATTGAGTTCTGCTTTTACCACGTGTGGTGGTTTTTCGAACCTTGCATAACTTCTCGTTTTACAAACGGAAAACTTTCACTGGATGTTATTCGTTCAGTCACAATTCGTTAAAATAAAATTAACAACAAAATTAACAATAACAGAAGATACCGTGTTCTGAGATAAGTCATACATATATGAGTATAATTAATAATAAAGGAATGTAATATAAGACTTATTTGTTTTATAATGAACAGGAATTAATTAGAAATGAATAACTAGTTACATCAAGCAAGAGAAGCTTTGATTAAGTGTGATCGTTGTGCCATCTGCAGGGATTAAACAGTAACGAAGAATAATGGTTGTTATGACCAGCTGAGATCACGGATAGGTGGAAAATTAGACAACCTTGAGTAAACTAAATAACTGTCAAGGAATCTGCTTGGAAGTTTTCTAGAAAAATAAAAACAAAATCCGAGCTAAATATACCAGCATACGCTTATAAAAATATCTCGCCTTCCTGATGTCCTTTGCTTGAATCGTAGCAACGAAACTTGTCGATTTTTATCGTCTGGGTAGTAACATCATGGAGAGTTTTACGTGGTCATTAACTGTCGTAGGAACGTATCACCTCCATCTTCAGGGTAGAATCTGGAGGCGTCACAAAAAAGGAGACCACAATCGACAACTGATATCGTCACATCAATGAGAACCTGAAATCTTAGCTGTTATACACTTGCACCATTCCCCATAAACTCTCAAGTAACTGCTCCAAGCATTGATATTGGTCCGTATTTTACAGGCGTCCTGTGATATTTTCCATTCAGATGACTCGGAGTGGGTGAGATGTTGACAGTTTTCTGAGTAATGCTGTATGTGTAATGAACGAACAGTTAATTAGTTCTCCACTGAGCCATTGGATCAATATCCATGTGTTTGTCACTGTATATGTGGTGTTACATTCACCGTATTTATTCAGTGCCTGGCAGAAGGCTGTTCACACGAGACCCGTAACAGAACA